TTGGAAAAATAATCCATGTGACATCAGGGGTTCAACCGTAATTTTATAAAGCTACGAGAATACATTTTGAGTGCAAAAGAAAAAAAAATAACGACTTTATTCAACAATTCGTCTCCTCCGCATCACCCTAGCACCACGTGGATACTCTCCAAAATAGCGCTAGGGTGATGCGGAGGAAACGAATTGTTGAATAAAGTCGTTTTTTTTTTAATTTTGTGCACAAACAGTATTCTCGTAGCTTTGTAAAATTACGGTTGAACCCCTGATGTCACAGATTATTTTACCGATGTCCTTGCTATGTTTCTGCACCTTGATCGTGTAAGGACCCTTGCTGTCTATGGGAGGGTCAGAGAGCTCTCAGATCCCATCAAAAATATCTTAATTTGCGAACGGAGGTCTTACAGGTTTGGAACGACATGAGGGTGAGTAATTAATGACAACATTTCCATTTTTGGGTGAACTATCCCTTTAGGCCTAGTCCCAGACTAAAATATAAGTCTGACAAAAAATAATTTTTTTTAAATATATTTTTTTAAATATATTTTTTAAAAGTAAAAAGTCAGGCCACATGACATTTTCCAACTTTAATGAAAATGAATATTCTTTAAAAAAAAAATAGTTATTCATTCATAAATATTATTATGTTTTATTACAATGTATGACATTTTAAAATCCTGAAATAACTTTGCCTCTTCTTAAAAGGTAACATTTTTAATAATTTAATAAATGAACCCCCAGTTTCACAGACAAGGCTTAAGCCTAGTCCTAGACTAAATTTTAAGTCTGAGCTGTTTCAACTGAAAGAAACTTGCACTGATTGATCTTAAAATATGTCAGTGCCCTTGTAAGTCTCAAGATGCACACCAGTAATGTTTTTTCTAAATCATGTTTATAAAAATGACTTAAATGTCCTAATTGAACTATGGCCGAATACTGGTTTAGTCTTAGCCCTGTCTGTGAAACCAGGGGTGTATTCCAGAAAGTAGGTTCAACAAACTCCAAGTTAAAACTTGAACTCTGAGTTGACTTACCCTGAGATGGGAAACTCTGAGTTTTCGGTTTCAGAACAGCTGAATTGTGTTAGTTCAGTCAACTCTGAGTAGATTGACTCTGAGTTTAGCGCGTGCACCAGGACTATGAAAAGTCATGATCAATGGCGCTCCGGAATTATGATTCACCATGGCAACAGCATCGACAAAAAGAAGTCTGCATACTTTGAGTCAACGCATAAGTTTAATTCTTAATCACTGTTATAATAACAGAGGTCAAAACTGGCAGAACGGTAGGTTATTGAACTAATATTAATTTTCATGGTATCCCATGGGCAAAAAAAAAAAA